GGGAGACCCCCGGGAGGAGCGGCACGGGAAAGGGGGACGCGAGAACGGGCGCCGATATATCTCACTCCGTAAATCCGACCTATTCTTCCTCGGCACACCGCCGTTTCTCACCAGTTCTCGCAATCGTCTCGCCCGACGATTACGAGATCGAATTCGGTAGGTGGACCGATTCGATATCGGTCTTCGTCCTGAAATTTCATTTCCGTTCAGAACCGACAAGAGGTGAACGTGATTATTTCCAGCTTTCGTTCGATTCTCGTTTGCAATTCCGACAGTGGGGAACGGTATCTCCCTTCGGCGCGTACGCGAACGCGATAACGATCAGGTAGAAACAAGAGAGAGAGAGAGAGAGAGAGAAAAGAAATGCAAGTTCGCCGGTGCACCTACGAGAAATTCTCAGGTGCGTGAGAGATTCTCCAGCGGTATGGCAGAGAGGTGTCACGCTCGGCTGAGCTAACATTCCAGATTACGTATAAGCCTGGAATCGTTGCTCCCAAGGGAGCATCGTCCTGAAACTGGCTGGCGTAATATCGCTGTCTTCTCTGAACACGGCGAATTATTAATCGGACCCTGATAATTGGAATGTTAATCGACGCGAGGAAGTGTCGGGGATCTTTCACGTGCGATCGTACCTCGTCTTATATTCGGCGATGCGAGTTGGAAGGATCATCGGGTCGATACTTGGCAAATCGTATTTCATCTCTCGCACGAGATGCTTTAGGGCCGACTTATATATAATTGATTCTTATAGGACCGTCTTACAATACAGTCACGAAATGTTATAAGCCAATTAAAACTGTGCTTAAGTCCGCAGCCTCGCTTTGAGAGGCCGTAAGTCGTAAGCTGTAAGTTCTAAGTGACGATATATTGACCACAGAACTTACACGCATTCTACAATAAGCCATTAGTCATAAATCAGAAGTTAGAAGCTGGAAATCTACCGATCACAGTCGTCAATTTCCAACTTCTAACTTCTGATTTATGACTAATGGCTCATTGTAGAATGGCCATAAGAATTTTTTCAGAACTTTTCATCAACTTTTTAGTACTGCGTTTTCTTACTTTTACCAACGTGAGAAAATGCGATATTGGAAAAGTTGGAACAAATTCTCAGAACTTTATGAAAAGGAAATAAACAATTTTCGTCTCTCGCTGTTTTTCTGTAAAGTTGATAGTATTTGTGTAAAAAATTATTGAAAACCAATATTCAGCGATTTTTTTAGTAATTAATATCTAATCATTGGCCATTATACTTTTAGAATACAATAATAATAAATATTTGGGCAATAATTAGTGCGAAATTATATCAAGAATTCAATTAACTCACGTAATATAATATATTGGTCCACCATGTCTCGATACAAAAAAAATTTCCTTGAGCGTTTCGATTTATTTCAAACCATCTTCAGCAAGTTGTGAAAAATTTCGTCGCAGCTAACAACGCGACTAATTGCTCTGTGCATTGCACTCTCCAGTTAGTTATTTGGCTTAACAGCGAAGGGATAATTTTAGCAAATCTCAACCTGACAGTAATGATATGATCATTCTGACGTAAAATATCTTTCCAACATTGCAGACTATTTGTCAAGACATCGACGAGAATTACCTATCCAACATTTTATGAACTTTATATTATAAGACATCGACGAAATTTTTCACAACTTGCTGAAGATGGTTTGAAGTAAACCGAAACGCCCAAGGAAATTGTTTTGTATCGATCACGGTAGACCAATATATTACCTGCATTGACGCTCCGATTGTCCATATATTTTTCATTATTGTATTTCAATTTCGAGAGCCCAATATATATTTATATTTTGTAAAAGTTTCTTTATACTTTTAGGCCGTAAGAATTGGAGCTCGCTAAATTAATCGATTAAAGCCTAGAAACTGCGCAAAAACAGCTTGAAGACAGAAATCGTCATTTGATCTCTTTCTACTTATAAATCTTGAGACTGTTGCATTTAAGATACTCCTAAAGTAAAACCGGCCTAGATCTGCTCCGTCTACTATTCCTCGATAGTCACGACGTTCCGTGGTATCTTCTCGGCCGCGTTTCACGAGGTTGCGAAAATGTCGGGAGGACGAATCTTAGACGGACAGATCGAGGTTCATCGCGCGAAGCGACGTGCATCTCACGCGATATCCTGACCGGCCGGCGCGGCGCGTGAAAACTTGAGAAATATATTCCTCGGTGTGTATACCGGAATGTACCACTTTTCGACATATAACAGTAATATATGCGCGGCACGGTGTAGAGACACCGAGGTCTCTCTCTCTCTCTCTCTCTCTCTCTCTCTCGCCCTTTCTCTCTCTTTCTCATAGAAATATACGGCGAGGGACATAACGGTCCTCTCCTCCGTGTCTTCTCGCCACCTTTGTGTCCGGTCGTGTTACGAATACTAGGTACACGACCGGCGCCTGCCGTCCGCAACATCGCCTCCGAAATCTGATTCAGTTACGCGCGCAGGATATAAAGAGAGGATAAAGACGAGGGGGGAGGGAGGGGGAAAAAAAAAGAAAGAGCGCGACGGGGGGGGGGGGTGTCGGGTTCTCTCTCGCCATTCGTAAATTCGACACACGCGTGCCGTTTGCGCGCAGTTTGCACGCCGTTCGCATGCATGTCGCCGGGCGGCTACGAGCCGACCGAGAATCATCCGGAATACCAGGCAACGAGGCCATCCTGTAAGGATAAAGTCCGAGTCCCGGTTCGGTCGCTCGGGGAGGAGAAGCCGACTCGAGACATTCAGGCGCGCTCGGCCGCCACGGTCTCGATCGTTCCCCATTCATCTCGGCCGTGCGAATCTTCGCAGCCAATGATAATAAAGTGGCGCGATAAGCAACAAAAAGAGAAGGATCGAGTTCCTCGCAGCGCTTAGGGCGCGAACTCCGATTAACTTAATCGGCGATTAATCCACCGATAGAATTAATAGGACGGAACGGTTGAAAGAAAATTTTCAACTATGCAGTCGCTTTGCCTCTCTAATTCAATCCTTTTCTTCTTTTTCCATATACGTGAAGTGATAAAAAGTTAATAATGTTCTATCCACTTGTCCTACTTAACGGAATGACAGGTATTACGTGATAAGTTGACCGCCGATTAAATTAATCGGGACTTGATCGTAATTACCCTAAGAGATACTCCAACTAAACTTTGATTAACTAGATCGACGGAATTGGAGTCAATCTTAACAGCTACAGAAGCGTGACGCATCACGTCGGGCATGACGATGGAAAACGATGACGAAAAGGCAGACGAAATAGAAATGCGAGAAATTCAATTTGTCACCGGGAGCAGCTACGAAGGAACGTGGAATGCGATTGAAAAGACAGGCATCGGCAGATACGTCACGCCTTACAGTTAATCAATTTAGGCTTTTTTCAAAAGCTAACTTGCTTTTCTCAAATGCAATATGCAAAGTTAGGATCTCTGCACGGAAAGAATAATAATTTTGCTAAAGTATTTATAATAAATTTAGATAGATAACAGTCTGAAAATAATTTTGTTGGACCAGCAAAATAATTAGGAGACTGAAATATATAATGAGTATCCTTGGTGAAAATTTTTCTCATAATTTTTATACGAATTGGAAATACTCAGAAATATCCGGGAGGTTTATATCTTCTCTCAGAATTTTTTATACAAGTTCGAATTCTGAAATATCTCATCCCATAATTTTTTAAAACTATTTTTTAGATTTTATAACATTTTATCAGAAATTGTATTTACAAAAAATCTTAAAAATCTTACGATATTTCATAATTAACATATATGAAAAGTTCTAAGAAAAGATGTAGATTTTCTGAGAAATATTCCAATTTGTATAAAAAAATGTGAGAAAGTTATAGAATTATAGAGAAATTCTGAAAAATTATATGAAAAATTCTGAGAAAAATTTTCACCAGAGATATCACA